TTGGCTTCACAGCACTGACAGAATTGTTGTTTAAGCAGAATACCTTAGAAGTGAACACTTAATTACTGTAGTGACAAGCAGAGGAAAAACTGTTGTGACCCCAAAAGGAGTTTACTTGCTTTTCTGCCCAGAATCAATTTCCATGTTAGTTCAGTGGAAGAATGCTGTCTCTGAGAAGATCATTTTATGGGTTTGTAACTTTTCTCTGCCAGGCTAAACAGCTAAATATGTTTAAAGATGTGGAGGTGTAAACTCAAGGAGCTTTAAAGTTTACCAAGAGAACAAATATGCATTTATGTTTAAGTCCTTATAGTTAAGGTTTAGAATGTTTGCTTGTGATTAAAAAAAAATAGAGAAACTTTCCCAGGACAGGACAAATTACTTGAACATGTGTGTTCGGAGTGAGAATCCAAATATGATTCAGCGTTTTCCATTACTGCCCCCGAACATACTACAGTCTGTAAATGTACAATGTGTTAGGTCTTACCCTTCTCTGCCAATTTTTAAATCCTTCTTTGAAGGATAGGAACGTACTCTTTGTTACACATATTTTCCTCCTTTCCAACATCTATCCTACATTACACATGATGTCATCATTTGTCTTTTTTTTTGCTGACTTTTGCTGTTGTTTATTGCCTTAATACCTTCAAGTAATGTTATTTAGTTTGAACAGCGATGAAATGTGGCTTCAACTCTGTTAAAATTGGAAATGATTACAACAACTTTGACAACAAGCTGAAAAGCCATTTTGAATTTGATCAAGAAACATGCTCAGCCTGACATTAAGTCCAGTAATCAACACAGTCTGTGAGTGCAGATTGATGACAAAAATGTTCCTACTGAGGGCTATGTTTAAAGGGATACTTCACCCGTTGAAACATGAATCTGTATTGACATTGGGTCATGTATGTAGTAGAAATGTGAAATAAATTTTGAAGTTGGTGCCTCCTTGGCCAAGAAAAGGCAGAAAGTGTCTTTTTGGCTCATGTGGATGAAAGACACCAAATCCCAGAATGCACAGCACCGCAGGCCACTCCAACTAAGGTCCTCTAGTTCAGAATCAGAAATACTTTATTAATCCCAGAGGGAAATTCGATCGTTACAGTTTCTCCAAAATATACAGTATAAAAACATTTACAGACATATTTACTTCAACACATACGGCCATTTCCTCAATTGATTCCCAAATTTCTTCCAGAATTGATCTGGGAAATTCCTGGCAGAAAATAGACTCTGTGTCTGTGTCCATAGACAAACAGTGAGAGCACCGACACTACCAGTTCGCTCCAGCTCGAGCCGGCCCGGGCTCCTCGTCCTCACTGCCGCCGACAGGCAGGCCTTAAGTCTCGGTTGCTGAGCTGGCAGCGGCCGGTGGTCTTGTTTCGCGGTGGCCCCGGCGCACGGCAGCCGCAGCAGCCGAAACACAAGACCGGCCTATCGGCAGCAGCCGTCTCGCCGCTGTATTTATATTTTTGAGCCATTATAAGCTTTCTCCATAGAGTCTGTGAACATAGCTTCTGAGCAATATGGCGGACGTTAAGTTTTGATTCTGGGAGTGAGTTCCCACCCACTGATCTGTGATAGGTCTGTAGCTTCAGTGGTCGAAAATATGAGGAACTAGCGTTGTAGTTTCACCCCGCTAACCGCAACAGCTTCCAGTGACACAAAGATTGTCATTTTGCGTCACTGGAAGCTCCTTTTCAGACTTAGAAATACAAAGATTTCCCATCTCAGGGGAAAATGAGGGCGGGATGCACGACCATTAAAAAATACTACCAGGTTACTAATGATACAAAGCTTAATGCAAATAGTGAAGTATCCCTTTAAGATTCATGCGCTTGTTACTTTTAAAACTTTCTTTTATTTGTTATTTTCATTACGTAAACATATCTTTTTGTCTTTACACATTCTGTTCATATCTGTAAATTAAGCTACATGTTAACAATTTCATAAAGCACATCAGAATTATCATCTCTGATATCTATAACACAATTGGCCATATAGTTATAACACAAAGGTATGTGTTGGAATTTTTCCTCCTGGAATCGCTCCTTTATGTCATTGTTGTGGCTATCGTAGAAAAGTTCATTTCTGGGTCTCTGGATGGCCTAGCGGTTATGTTGCATGGCCCATGTACAGAGGCTGTAGTCCTCATCACAGAGGCCGGGGGTTTGAATCTGACCTCAACCCTTTGCTGCATGCCGTCCCCTGCTCTCTCCTCCCAACATTTCCTGTCTCTCTACAGCTGTCCTATCCCAAAAAGGCAAAAATAGCCCAACGGTATATCTTAATTATTGAAATATCTAGAATGCTAAATGCTTGAATGAAAGAGCTTTGTCCTTGAACTCTATTGACCCTGTAAGCATGAAGTACAAACGTATGAAACAGCCACCATGGTTGAGTTCTGAATAAAAAAACACCAGCTCTGCTTTGCTCTTGACCCAGAACCTGCAGACGCTCCTCTGCTTGTTTACATGGCGAGATGTTGTGGTCAGGACCAGTAGGGGGAGGGTTGTTCCGATGGAGCCCTCCATACTGGTTCCCAACATGAGGCCCTCGAGACACACAAGGACAACAGAGATGTGCACATCCATGTCTGGGTCCTTGGCTGGGCCCCTTTGAGGTGGTCGGATGTGATGTTTGCACAGATGTGTAGGTCCAAGGCCTAAAGGACCAACCACCCTCCCAGTGCCCCTCTGGTGGTCCTGTCCCACCCCTGACTGGGAAGGATGGAGCCTCTTGTGGCAACACATTGAGTCCCATCATGGGTGACATGGCTTAAAGAGACAGAGCTGGGATTCTGATTCTCAAAGTTACATGAAGATTTCTGTCCAGCTGGGGAACTTTGGACTGGAAACAATAAACCTACCTATCATACAAAGACGCTCAGTGCTTCAGATGATGATTCTGTTGTGGTGACATTATCCATTTCTCCTGTCTTCTAGACTTCTAAACACCAATCAGAATCAAGTTTATTGCCAAGAAGGGATAAAGGAGTAGAATCAAAACATTAACAGCTAGTAAACAGCAGTACTCTTACTGTATGTGGACATTGATAGAATAAGATCAAATCAACAGTAAAGAAGAGAAATACAAAAAACAATATAATAGCTAATATGTACATTAGCTGAAATTGAAGAACTTTACAGTTGTGCAGGTATAGGCGTACTTAAGTCGGGTATTCTTTTACTGTGCATGCCAAACGAGAGTTTAAGTCAAGAGTTTAAACAAAAGTTTAGTTATTCCTAAAACATATCTAAAAGTAAAGCTACGTGATGGAGAAAACCTGTATTTATTTTACATAATATGAAGACAATATCTGAACTTTAAATCCATGCAAAATGGTTAAAAAAAATGTTAATGGTCAAATTCATGAGCACCTGAAAACATGAAAACATTGACTTGGCTTGTAAAAAAAAATGAAATTGAACATAGGGTATGTGTTTGAACACATGTGAACATTATTACCAGTCCTGTCTTTTAATGATCACACTGTAAAACTCTTCATAAATAAAAAGTAGCTTGAACTTAAAAAATGAAGTGTCAGTGCTGCCCTAAAATTTAGGCTGCTATATTAGTTTTGTTTCCAACACAGAATTTACTTTCCAATCATGGCCAAACCGAGATAAAAACCTTCTAACTGTGTTAATAGCTGAATGATCTGCTCCAAGTATAGCCACTTCATGTAAAATCATCTCAATAATATATTTTTGTTTGGGTCAGCTTTATGTTAAAGTTTATCCTCTTGACCAATATTCTTATTTTCAATTGAATTATTTTTGTAGGTTGGAAATCTTAAGAATAGTTGAGATTACACAACATTAAGACTTATTCCTTGTTGAAGTGACAATACATGTTACCATGACTAAGTGTTTTTACAGTGCATGATGAGTAGGTGACATTAAATCAGTATTAAATTGTGCCCATTAGTTCCATTTGTTACAATACAATATGTTCCACCAGTTTTTGGACTATGACGAGGTGGCTACTGGTGAGAGAAGAATTCTTGAATAATGTTATTTATATAAAGGCAATAATAAGCAGGTATCTGTGACAGTGCTCACTACACATGGCTTAGCTCCTTCAGTGTTCCCTCATTATGTGCTCACTTCTCGCTCACCTATTTTAAGCAGTGTTTCCTATTTTGAGTTCCCTGCAGTCACTCAGATGAGTCCAAAGCAAAAATAATAGTCAAGCAGCGATACACCAAATATCTCTAATCAGTTGCATTTTGTCGAACCTCAATTTTGAGTCCAGTTTGTGATCATAGAAAGTTATATTTTGAATTGTTATTGCTTACTATGTTTTACGCTATTCTGTCTAAAAATGTTGTAAAATATTTCCAAAATCTCTCTTTTTCCATGTAATCCTACTTTGCAATTTCTTCTATTTCCATAAAGCTCATTATAGCCTGTTGTGAATACACAGCTACACAGCTTGGCTCTCATTCTGCCTGCTAGAGGCTTCTATGTCTCTTCTAATGAAGTCATGTAAACATCCTGTCTGTGGTTTGATGTTTAGCATTGTATCACATGGTGCTGGTGGTTTTCAGGACGTAGTGTCAGACCAGTGAACAACATCTGGGACATGGATGACCAAAACAGTCACTGCAGTGTGTCTTTAGTTGGATGGCAACAAAGAATGTCAGAAATGAAACTACTTTGTTTATAGCTTTGCTTGTCATATGGCCGACACATGTTGCTAAAGATTCATAATGACTCTTCTTGCCTCCTCATGAGAGGAAATGTTTTCAATTGATCCTTGGCTGAGGACAGGCACAACGTGTCCCATTTTTAGACATGCAATACTAAACTTAGTTATGAAAAGACAAAAACATTCCATGTGATTTCATCCTTCGGGGTGTTATTATTAACTCACAGCTCCAGTTGCACAGTGTACGACTACTACTGCTTCAAACATTGTATACTGTTTCTAGGCTAAAGCAGACTTATGGCATAATATACACTGATTTGTGACATAACATCTGTTGTATGTTGCAGGAATTCAGGAGGGGACGGAGTGCACTAAGTGTAAAAATGACTGGGCACTGAGGGCGGCTATTGCACTGCTGTATGTGCTCTGTGCCCTGCTCACCATAGTCGTGGCTGTGCTCGGATACAAAGGTGAGTCCTCTGTATTTACAGATTTTAACATCTGGGCTATTGTGTGGTATACACAAGCATGCTCAAAGTTAATGCAGACTCATTGACTGGCAGGGGGGTTATCTTTTTTTATAACTCATCCGTTTTGATTTATTTAAGATTGGCTAAGAGTTATACATGATAAGATAATTATTAGCTTTGGTAATTTCATAGCTGTTTGCCAGGAGACTGTTACTTGAGTGAAGTAACCTAAATCTGTTGCTAACCTTAAACTGTCGGCTTTGTTGTTTTCGTCATTTGAAATATGCTTGCTAGATGACAAGCTAGAAGAGTCTGATGTGCATTTCTCAGCAGCCTGGTATACATTCGGCCCGCCTCAACTCCACCTCTTTGCTTGCTTCTTTAACATTAAGTTGGAGTTAGCTTTCCGATTTGGTGACCGCCATCTTGGGCATCTTAACGCCTCTTTAGAAACAAATGGGTGACGTCAATGAGACTACATCCATGTTTTATACAAAGTATGATTTATACAAAGTTTATACACTTACCGTTAGGTAGTGCCCTCCAGACGCTGCAGTCCTTTTTACGGGAGAAAAGGTGGAAGTTATTAGTATAAAGAAAACGGTTTGTATCTCGTGTGGAGCTTAAGTAAAAGCCAATGTTGTTGTACCTGTGTTCCTGTCCTCAGCGTTAACTTAAACAAAGAGCTACCATCACCTCACCATCACCTCACCATAACCTCACGTTTCATGCCTGTGTGAGGTATGAGGACATGTTGGCCATGACAGTTCAGTTAAAATCAAGGTCCCCTGAGGATGTAGCTCACTGACTTTTGTTATCTCCCTATCCTCAGACAAACAATAAACAGTCAAAATTCTAATGCGTCTAATTCTTTGGTTTATGGCAGTCATATTACTGGCCACAGGATGTAAAATCAAATCCAAAGTCAGAGAGTACAGCCGAAGATTTACCACATTAAGAGACTCCCTTGACAGAATGCATTGTTTAGTCTCAGTTGAATTGATATATTTCAGATATAAACCATAGCTTTGGATTATAAACACATTTGTTGTGCAACACTGTCCTAACTGCATTAATTTTGTAGTGTTTCTCCCTGTTTGATCCAGGGCAGTAATGTTAAATAGAAACAGAAACGATTCCAGTTATCACACACACCATCAATAAGGAATGCTCTTTGTGTATTGTCCAAATTTAAACATTTGGGATCACAATCAATCGTAGAAAAGTTGTTGAAATATCCTGGAGCGAAATATTGTAGACCCACTTGCTCCACAGGTGGCCTGTAACCTGATGAATCATGTGCCTGAAATAACACACAAAAAGCTGCATTTGCAAAGCAGGGAAAGCATTTTTTCAAAACATGCTAACATTAAAATATCTGAGTCTGATTCAGGTCTTGTAAGGTCTGTCAGGAGTTTCCAGATTTGGGTCTGTGTCAGCATGGAGTCCATGTGATGGTTTGGCTCTAATGTCTACCAGATGACCATGAACCAACTACCCAGGCTTAACAACCCAGAGGAGATTTTATGGCTTGGTAGCAATTTGCTGTCTCATGAACCACAGGTTGACTCACATAAGCCTGCAAGTGTCCAAAATATTTGTCCAGTGTCGGCTTGATTGTTTGTTTTCTTCTCCTCTACACCGTTTAACAGCATATTCTTTAGTTGACCAGAAAATATGGACAGAGTTTTTGCCCTTTTGTCACTTGTTCTTGTCTTGCACCTTATCCATTCTTTGAAGTCAAAAGCATTTGCTTGCCTTATGTTAGGTAACTGCTTAAGTATTGCTCATAATTTAGGTCATAATAAGCCTTACTCAAATTAGATGTCTTATATAATTGCTAATGCTTTTCAAAAACAGTACTGTGGGGTGGGTGGGGGATAGAAGGTTTGCAAGACTTTATGAAATATTTTGTTTTTTCCATGAATTCCTATTGTATGTTATGTTAGTGTCACTTATTTAGGGATAGATTTCCCAGTGCTCAGAAAGATAAAGAAATGAGCACTTTAGCAGGGAGAGGGAAAAGATGAGATCCAAGCTGCAGACAGTCAGCACCGACAGCTTATTGGCCCGTGTTTCTTTGTTTATCCCAAGTGCATGTTATTGTTTCGTGTTTTTGTCACTTCTGGAATGATAACAGTGGAAGCTGAGGATGTTTTCCAGTGAACATTTAAGTCTCTCACATACCAACAGAATAACAAACATTGGAGTAGACCAGATGAACTTTTGTAGCAGATGTGATGAGGAGAAGAGAAACTGTAACCAGAGGTGTATTCTTTATGTTCCACACTGTTTATATTAAATGAAGTGGAATTTGTGCCTGCACTCTGCACCATGAGTTTTTGTAATAACCAACAAATATACAGTTGATCGGCTGCAGAAATGTAGAAAAGTTTTCATGCTGTTCACAGTTCAGTGTGCAGAGCAGCAGTTTGAGGTTCCAGATTTTCACTGGAGAGGAGAAAAAAACAACAGCAACCTCTGCTGTTCACTGTCAGTATTACACCTCTGGTTTCTATCTATCTCTCTATCTATCTTTCTCTCTCTCTCTCTATTGTCAATTGTCTTTCTTTTCTTTTGTGAAGCACTTTTGGTGCTATATGACAAAGTAGAGTTGGGTTGAGTTATTTTGTATTAAATCTTTCTTTCCTCTTTTATCAGTGGTCCAGAGAATGGACAATGTCTCAGAGGGCATGCAGAATTATGGCGGCAAGATCAGTGCTGTTGAGACGGACCTAAAGAACCTGGGTAAGGATCATTAGATATTTAAAACGAGTAGTTTTCTCCTTTTTGGGCTTTGAACAAAGTTTTTTTTCTGTGTGGAAAATGTTAAGTTTTCTATTATCCTATATCTCTTTCCCCTTTTCAGATTATCAGAACGGAGAGAAGTCAGTAAATTCCACAAGTGCAATAAAGACTTTCAAGTCAGATCTGGAAGCTTTACAGCACCAGCTGAATGATGTTGCCGTGAGGGCGAGCAAAAACAGAGACATACTCAACGAGCTGCAGATCACAGGAGACGATATGCAAAATGGCCATGTCTCCCTGCAGAGTTTTCTACAAGGAAACGCTGCCTCACTGCGTGGGGTCAACCAGACACTTGCCACCTACGGGGGCATGATTGACAACCTCCAGACAAACACTGCATGGCTCCAGTCTGAGATACAGAACCAGGTCAAAGAGCAGAGTCAGACCCAGGTTACTGTCAGCGCGCTAAACATCACCCAGGCCCAGCAGCGCAATCTGCTCAGCACGCTGCAGAAGACAGTTGAGGACGCAGGCCAGGCAGTGCAGAAACTCAAGAATGACTATCAGAGTTTGCAGCAGACAGCTAGGCAGACCCGGGCTGACACAGAGTGGCTGAAGGAGAAAGTCCAGAACCTCCAGGTTTTGGCAGCCAATAACTCAGCTCTGGCCCGGACCAATGGTGAAGCTCTGGATGACCTGGGGTCACAGCTCAGCACGCTAGCCAGCCAGATCCAGAATGCCTCATCTCTTACTGAGGGGCACGACCAGAGCCTTCGGGAGATCATGGACCACCAAAGAGACCACGATAATACCACCTCATCCAAGTTTGACGAAATGGAGGCTCGATTAGACAGACAGGAGAACGACATGGACCGTGTAACAGGGAATGTGAGCTTTGCTGCGCAGCTGCTAGGCTCCATCAACTCGGACCTGAACGGTCTGAGGTCCTGCGCTGAGACTGTGCTGCAACATTCAGACCTTTTACTGGGGCTGAACAGTAGTGTGACCGAGGCCAGGACAGAGAGCCATGAGCTGAGAGCCCAGCAGGATGAGTTGACAGCCAGGCTGGACAAAGAGGTCAACAACCTGTCCATTGTGATGGAGGAGATGAAGCTGGTGGACAGCAAGCATTCCCAGATCATCACCAACTTCACCATCCTGCAGGGTGAGAACAGTAGATGTACTGTCAATTATGATCCAGATCATAACACGGTTTATTTGTTTGATTCAAATTAACTTTCCAAATACAAGTGAAAGTAGTGAAATGCAGACTGAACTTGTAGCTATCAGTATGCACAGTATGCAGATTTTTGCCCTTTTGACCCTTTACATGTAATACTTTTTGATAAAGAAACCAGCACAAGTCTTCTGAATGCAATATCCTTAGGATGAGAAGGTGGATATCCTCATGCAAACATCCCCTTGGACATAAAGAAGGGACTGATGAGAACTTAGCTATGACTCAAGACTTAGTACTATCCTTATGATAAGATTTCTAACAAATAGGCTATCTAACAAGATGCAATAACCAATTTTCATTTCTACGTATGCCTAACAAACATCCATTTGAACACATGTTGAGGAAAATCCTTTAATTTGGGCATGAACAACTATTTGGACTTAAAAGTGAAATTATTACATTTTGATGGTAATGGTTAATGTCAAGGTCATGCCATAGTGACCAGAAATTCATCTTATATTTGTGAACAATATGTCCTTATCAGTCCTTTGTACACCAAAAGTAGTTTCAAAAGTACCGAGTCCAGTCATACATGCCAATATAATAACTATTATTCATATTAAATTGCATTTAAAGCTCCTGTGTTGAACTACGGTGTGTGTTGATTATAGCGACCTCTGTGGACAAAGCATTATGTCTTCTCTCTTTGCTGATTTTGTCTTGTATAAGCTTAATTTTACCAGGATAAGATATCCCTATCAAAAATATTTGCCGTGGAAAATGTACAAAAAAAAAGGTCTATCTTTGAGCAGGTTGCTGCTAAATACTTGACTGACACCTACCTGCCGGCAGCGGTTTAATGCATTTAAATGACAGTATAGAAATAATGAATCTTGTGGCTGACTGTCTCTTTTGCTTTAGTAGGTGATGAAGACATCAATATTTGTTTCAGTCTGTTTCATAACCCGCTAAAAATATCCTTGAAGTAACTTTAATATTTGTGTCATAATTGATGTTTCATTGAATTCCTATATAGTCTTCAATAATTATATTACCTGACTCTAGACATACATAAAGGTTAACAGCAAAATAATTGGCATGCAACTTGGAGGTAGTAGTTTCAGTTTGGGCCTATACTAAAAATGTAGCACTCAAAGTAAAAAGAAAATTGAATTAACTGCGACAATGCCCCCCATGCAATGAGAGCACTGGGATCCAACACATAACAATATATATGTTTTTTTTTTACTACATGGAGGACTATTTGCTAATCTGCTAAAAACTTTTGTATCTGTGTAATAATATTAATTAAAGATAACCATGTAGAGTGAGTAATATTTTTTTTCTGTCATAGAAATATAATAAACAATACATTTTGAAACAGAAAGTCCTCTCATACACTGTAATTATGTTTCAGGTCCACCAGGTCCAAGGGGGGCAAAAGGCGACAAGGGTCCCCAGGGGCCAGTGGGCCAGTCCGGACAGAAGGGCGATAAAGGAGATAAAGGAATGCCCGGGTTGGCGGGAACTAAAGGAGACAAAGGTGCTGTTGGAATTCCAGGTGCAACAGGTCCAAAAGGTGCAGCAGGAGCTCGGGGTCTTACAGGGGCTAAAGGATCGAGAGGGTCTGGTGGTCGACCTGGAAGTCCTGGTGAAAAAGGTGACCCAGGGTCTACTGGGCTGCCTGGTCTTGATGGACTTCCAGGGATGACAGGTCCAGAAGGGCCACAGGGGCCCTCAGGAGCTCCAGGACCTGCAGGGTTGGAGGGGCCTCGTGGGCCCGTTGGACCCATTGGCCCTGCCGGTCCTCCAGGGCTACCTGGGTTACCTGCACCTGTACCTCCACCACCTTCTAAGGCACCTCAGCGTCCTCAGCCCACCCAGCCTGCAAAAATCCTTGTTTCCCCCAAACCACCTCAACCTCCCAAACCAGAAGAGAATCAACAAGGGTCCACGTCACCGCAGGTCCAACCCCCTGTCGCCCCGACTCCAACACCTGGTAAGTTCTATAGCTACAGCAGAGTCAATCTTGGGACCCAGCAGCGATTATGTGACGACAATCTAGCCTCTGGGAGTGACAGGCAACTCTTCAGGGCTGCTAATGTAGCTTGCGGTTAAAGGACCTCAATTCAAGACTTAATTTTCTGTGCACTGGCCAATGTTTTCAGTTCAATCAGCTTCTTCAGATCTAGGAATGGAGAGATGATTTCTAATTGATTGATACATTGGTGTGCGCACTTACATGCATATATCTGTTGATAGTGATAGACAAATGTAATCCTCCATAGACGACTGCTGATTGGTTCAGGTATTGCATTGAGGCTAATTGTATTCCGTCTCTCTTGAACTAACCTTAATATTCTGTAAATGATCCACTCCAGGTTGCCCACCTGAGTTCAAAAAGTTTGGAGACAGCTGCTATTACTTTTCTTCTGGACCTCAGAGACTCAATTTTGATGAGTCCTTTCAGTTTTGTTCCAACACGTCATCTCATATGCTCATTATTAACGACAACGAGGAACAGGTAAATGACACTCGAATTAAACATTTTTTATTATCTTACAGTCCAAGGCTTTCTTTCTAAACTAATTATCCTCTCTGACATATTTTGTTTTTTCATCCGTAGACATTTGTGAGAAATGCTATTGCAGGAAAAGGCTATTTCTGGCTGGGTCTCACTGACAGGGAGGAGGAAAATGTGTGGAAATGGGTGGATGGGACCCTACCTGTTTTTAAGTGAGTAAAGCTGCCAAATTGTTTTGACAACTACAGTCTAAATATAGTTTTATTAAGCAAATTTAACCTGTGTTTTCTAGGGATTTCTGACATGATTCATTCTGTTCTAAATAACAACTTGTATGATGCTTGAACTTTGACACATGTTTGCATGCTGTTGATATCAGGAAATGGAAGCCTGGCCAGCCTGATAACTGGACTCATGGCCATGAAGACGGCGAGGACTGTGCTGGCCTGATCCACAATGCCAATTGGAATGATTTCTACTGCACCGACCGCATCGGTTTCGTCTGTGAACGTGCCTCTGACTGTTAGTACTTGCTAAATATCAGGCCTTGTTTTGCATAGTTAGGTTTAGATTTTTTTTGTAAAAAGCTGGTCCTGTTCTATACCAAAACCAAAGTTGTGTGGGTTAGACAAACTTATACATTCATTTTTTTCAAGTTTAAATTTAAAGATTAAGAAAAATGAACGGGGTAATATAGCATCAAAGCAGGTGGGAACTGGAATACTATATATAGAATATACGGTATTTTGTAAGACAGGTGCAAATGTTGTATATGTTAGGGACTATTTTGTGCAGCAGATTTGTTAACTTTTGTCCCTGCACGGAGTCATAATATTGAGTACACCGGGATGTTGTGATTGTATTTTTTCTGGACTTTTTGATCACATCACATGGCCTAGAAGTCGAGTTACATAAGTGGACATGAAAATATAGAAGTTAAAATTTTCCATAACTCCAAGCTCCTCTAGGAATTGTCATTTATGACCATATTATCAGCAATTGATAAAGCAGTCTGTATTAGTGCAAATATTAACAGCAAAATAACATGTCCAAATGTAGGAGTGGGACATGTTTGTACTTTAATTAGTTGGAGGAATATGCTTTGTATCAGACTGTTTGCATCATTTTATATGGCAACATTTCTGACTAATCTAATTTAGTCAAGTTTTTCTGTTGCTTTAATATAAGGTCATAATTTCTGTACATCACAAAGTTGTTTTAATATATCTTACATGCTTTGTCTTTTTTCTGTTCACAGTGAAAGTTCCAGTTTTATAGCATTCATCTAAGGCAGTGTGGGCTGTCTCTGGGAATGAAATGAAAAAAGGCTAAAGCTGGGATGGAAGATGCTGAAGGATAATGAAGGACACAAAGAGCTCTAAATGACTGGAGGACTCAGAAAAAGCTCGCTCTGTCAAGCATCACTGAGCGTGGACTGATCTTTGTCTTGAAGGCACTTCACAACACAGTGTGGTGCAAAAGACAGAGCATGAAGGACGGACATAGCCCTCCATGTATTGATTTAGTACTGAAGGAAACATAAGAATGTCGGCATTTATTTAGGCTATACTAAGTCATTGCTTGGTGCAGCCATTGTTGTACAGTTGTATCTGTAAATAACACTTCATAAAAAAAAAACATTGTTTTCATATTGAATTCAATATAGTTGCATTCCTTGGCTGCCGTCTCAACCCCAACATTTACACAACAAAATCTATATCAGAGAGTTATGTTGTAAGTGAGGTGGAGCTTTTATTTTTTTTAACTGTCAAACACACAAAACATTCAAAACTGTGATTACAAATAAGCTCTTAAGAGAACAACGAGCAACCACTCTCCATCACCAAATGACTGAAAATGAATAAATCAGAAGGGTATTGTAAATTTCACAAAAATTGAAATATTAATAGCATTTTTTTATTATGTTGTTTGAGAATAGGTGCTCTATGTGAGCAGTGCTGCTGTTTATGAAGGACATTTTTTCTAGCTATTAGACTGCCAGTATGAGTTTTATATAGTATGAAGCACATATAAACAATATTTACGTGTTTTTGTTTTGTAGCCTATGATGATTTGTTCCAAATGCCAAGTACAATATGTGAAATTGATGTTTATGATTTGAATAATCACTTCTTATTGTTGTATGATTGTCCTTGAATAATTACTTCTATGCTTAAGGACTGAATAGCAGTCAGTAACCTTCTAAAGGCTCATATTACCTGAATTAAACATTACAGAGTTCCTATGGATCACAATAAAAAAGGACCAAAACTGTGTGTGGAGTCAGTGATTTGTGTCCTATGATGAACTGAATGAATTGGGGGATGGAGCATGAAAAGCCATTTATGTTTCTTTAAAAACCAAAGAAGAATAAGACTTCTATCAGATGCTCTGAAGATTACACTCAGTAACATCTGCATCTTTCACAATATTTCATTTGTATTGTGTTTTTCCAGTTCTAGTTAGAATTATAATTAAGGATATGCATATTTACATTCTAGATATTTAGACTAAAGGCTACATTTTCATTTTGAATATCTAAAATTAAAATTATACAATTACAACTGGGTTGTAGATATCTGAAATGAGAGTTGAATTCTATTGCAGATATCTTGAATGTTCATTCTTGATAAGAATAAAAGAACGACCTTGTTGATAGGTGAAATTATAAATCCAATACACCGCTGGCTTAACATGATTTCTCTTAGCTTGTGGATATCTGTAGACAATTGTTGATAAGAGGAATGTTATTGTGGATATCTCAAATGTTCATGTTGACTAGCCTATAGGAAGAATTGAATAATATCTCTTATGAATATCCATTCTAGCTATTAAATGTTAATTCCGCTTGCCATAGGCTAAAAAAACAACTGGCCAGTTTCAAGTAGGCCTGCCTACTTGACTGAAAGCTTGGATCTGTTTATTTTTTCTTTCTTTTAAAATTGTTTTTTTTTTAAATCAGTATAGGCTAAATGATTATAATTCAAACGTAGCAAGGTTCACCCAAAAGATAGCCCCCTAAAGTAAAAGTTAAATGACTGATTTTAAAAATGACTCGAAAAGTAGGGTTCAATATTTATATTTATTTTATTTATTTATATTTATTTTTTGTTTCCTGTCAAAGCGTCTTTGAGTATTTAGAAAAGCGCTATATAAATGTATTATAATTATTATAATTATAATAATAATTATTAATATTAATATTAATATTAATATTAATATTATTAATAATAATAATAATAATAATAATAATAATATAAGCCTACACAAAAAATATTTCAAAACAGTAACAGAAGTAAATGTAATTCAATGTAAACAGGAAACATTAATTTGTTGTGCACATATGATGGTCACTACTGTAGAGGTAACAGTCACGTGATCGCCGTCACCTGACGATGACATGTTATTTTTCCACGACGGAGGGCGATGCTAGCGTTTCAATTACTGTCATAACACATTGAAGCGAGAGACACTAGCAGCTGTATGAGTCTGAGTTTTAAAGTATAGTCGATGACAGCGGTGGATTTTACACGCTACTGTCCGCTTCAATTACCCAGAATGCCTCGCTTGTTTCCGTCTGGCGAAGCAGTGACAGTGTAGAATAGACTCAGCCAGCTAACAAGAGACATTTGACATTCATGAAGTTCTCGTTACTATGCATTCGTGTTGGATGAAATAAGGCAAAGAGGGTGCGAAAATATCAGGGGAAGGGCAATTTTTTGTTGTTGTTGTCAATACGCCAGCAATGCCTCTCTTCGCGACCAACCCATTTGACCAAGATGTTGGTGAGTAATCAGAAGTGGAGGCTACGTCTAGCATGCGAGCTAAAGTGGCTTTTATCACTCATCTTTGTTTGTGTTTCCCACCTGAATGCTGCTCAAATATCAGCCTTTACACCTATATTAATGCGGTAAATGTGTGGGGGTTTCTTGTAGTATAAATCGCAGGTCAGATATACCGCAAAGCTCTAGTCTTAATGTTATTTCTTTTAGATGCCTGTGTTTGTTGTGATTTGCTCAGTTAGTCATACAGCACAGTTGGCGTTAGCTTCCCTTTTAATGTATGTGCAAATTGAAGCTTTAGTAGCAACTCAAACTTTGTTTTTTTTACAATCTAGTAGCCTTGAAAACGGTCTACAGAGTTCGATATTTGAGTAGTTATGTGATTTAATTACATAAAGGTCACATTTGAAGTGTCTGTTGAGGGTTACATGGACGGGGGACACCGATGTTGTCACCAGATATTTGACGTGACGTTAGCCAGCTAGCCGTCTGCCTCATCATCGCCTCACTGTTGGCTTGCCGACATGATGAGCCTGCCATCTCACTGTTACAGCAAGTGGAAGAGGAAGCGGTGAAATATGAAACCATTTACCTACTCTGTGTTTCCCTTTTCTCTCTTTGAGCAGTGTCGAGTGGTTAACCACTTCATTTGCATGTTACAGAGTTCAAAGGAGTGATAAAACTGTAGCCCTTTAAACCAGCAGTCAATGACATTAGGTTAAGATAATAATGGGTATTTGTGGATTGGCAGGTGTTTATCAGCATGGGTGGTCTGCCTGTTTGTTCAGTTTTTGTTTAAATGTTGATAAAATAAATATAATAATAATTGGGTTTACAAGTTTTGTATACACAGGTGTATGTTAATGTGTATTATATATATATGTAAATTGGACATATAGTAGCTATATCAAATTGTGTGTGTATAGATTGCATCAAATGTATAATTGTAAACATACTGTAACAAACTGTATAGATATAAGGATTGTATAAATATCTAAATATAGTACATCAAATTGTACAAATAGATATGCATATATAGATATATGGGTTGTATAAATATATAAATTATAAAAAATCATAATATATCAAGTTGTATATATGTATGGAAAATCATTGGATTGTAAATATCAAATATAGTATAGCAAATTGTGTATAGATAGATTGTAACTATAGGTTAGGAGTATACATTAAATTCTGTTTATCTGAAGAAAAACAAACATTTTTTTTAAATTATATTTGGTAGTCTTTTACTAGGATGCAACAATGTGTGTCAATACCTGAAATAATTGAAAATGGCTTACTATTTAGACTATGTAAGTGCAGTTAACTGACTGCATTTTATTACAAATACAGCTGAAGACACGGATCTTATGGTTGGATAGCAGTGTGTGTCTGCTTTGTCTCCTGTTTTCTTTCTTTTTTTGTTTTTGCTTTTTGTAAAAGTGAAGTACATTTTGGAATTAGATACTACTATATCAATCATTCAATCTTTGTTTGTATAGTTCCGATTCATATCAAATGTTATCTCAAGACACATTACAAAAGAGCAGGTAAAATACCTTACTCTTGATTATATTGTCAGAATCAGAATCAGGTTTTATTGCCAAGCACATTTACACATACAAGGAATTTGACTTGGTGTATTGGTGCTAAACAGTTAACAAGGAAATAAAGCAGAACTAACAACAACTTAAATAATACAGTATAAGAAGCTATTACAATATATTAAATAGAATTTTAAAATGTAAAATATATTATGTTACAAAGACCCAACATTAACCCATCAGGAGCACAGCACTATGCAACATTGAGCAAAGTTACAGTTGCAAGGGAAAACGTCCTTTTAAGAGGCAGAAACCTTGAGCAAAACCGGACTCATGTTTGGTTTAGGCCGTCTGCTGAAACTGTGTAAGACAGGAAGGAGGAGACTGATAGAGACAGAGCAACAGCAACAACAATGAATAATATTTATAGCTATAATGTCAGTAGAAATATTGGCAAAAGTATATGTAGTATTAGCAGTAACAGATAAGTAAGGTAACAGACTAATCAGTCTAATATTAACATAAGCAACTGTAAGAATATTATCTGTAATTCATAAACTGCTGATCCATCAAGCACTGTGAAATTATGTGTTTTGGAGATGAGGGAAGTCTTCCAAAATTCATATGCCAGAGACGGAGAAACTGCTATGGCAAAAAGAAACTCACTCACTACCACTCGATGAAAAACAGTAATCTTTATGTTTTCTTTACTGCACAAGCTAGCGTCCCAAGATTGGTTTTATACAGTACCTCCAGCGGTCTTTACACAAACCAAACATTATGAGATTCATCAAATTGGTATTTACTGCAGGGCTTTGAAATGTATAGGGTTTCTGTTTTTGTGTGTGTCTTTATCTCTCTAGTGTTTTTGCCCATTTGTAAGGGTTGTTAATATGGATGTTGTTTACACAGATTTAAGATCACAAGTTCTTAAATCATAGGGACTATGGTTAATTTAAAAAAAAAAAAAAGCTGAATCAATTCTCTCATTAGCTGCTATTGTAATAATCTTTACCTCTCTCACTTGTCTCTAAATAGTCAAAGTCTTTCTATCTTTAATCTGTTTTCTTACACTGGTTACTGTGCTTCTTCCCTGCAGAGAAAGCGACCAGTGAGATGAACACAGCTGAGGACTGGGGCCTCATTCTGGACATATGTGATAAGATAGGACAGTCACGCACTGGGTTAGTTAACTGCCTTCAAACATAACCTCGCACACAAACACATTAACACACTTCAAGTACTTCAGTAATAAAACATACATGATCTAGGGTTAGTGGTTAAACCCAGGGACAGAAAGAGTACAAGGTATATACAAATGTTGATAGTGAAGTTGTATATTTTCTTGCACAAAGTTTGGGTCATCTTTTCCTAGCAGTTCAGCTCCAAAACCTTTTTCGTCCTATCATCTTGTTACAGTCCAAAAGAATGTCTCCGCTCGATAATGAGAAGAGTGAACCACAAGGATCCCCATGTGGCCATGCAGGCACTGACTGTGAGTAAACTAATCACCTGGATGTTTACAAGATAATTGTTGTTAAACACTAAAAAAGGGTTGAAGAAAGCCAGGAAGGGGTGCCAGTTAGCCTAGCGGACTCTCCCTCTTCCTGGTTTCTGCCTCTATCGACTGTTCTACCTGAATAAGAACATAAAAGCCCTAAAAACAAGTCTTTATTGAAAACAAGACAAAGGTATCAACATGGTGAGTGCTAGAACGAGAAAGTACCAGATGTATGTAACTGTTGAGTTGTCGACTGTAACCAGTTTGTCGCTTTCTAATTTATTTGTCAAAAAACAAGTTACCATGTTATGTTACGTAATAAGTTTACTGATAGATGTTTTCAAAAATAACAAGCTGAACGGGGGCCTAATCGAGCTATACTGTAGCTCACCTTAACTATGCAAGTGAACTTACTGACTAAATGTGAGCTTGTAGAGTGCCTGCTTTCTCATTTGTAAAGTTACTGTGGATTTAGTTGGGAGTCTTATAAATAGTTTTACCTCTTTTCTTACAGCTCCTTGGTGCCTGTGTCTCAAACTGTGGGAAGATATTCCACTTGGAGGTTTGCTCCAGAGAGTTTGCCAGTGAAGTCAGTAATGTCTTAAACAAGGTAGGTGCTGTCATGTTTACTTGCAGTGAGTGTGCTGTCAACATGAGGCCCATCTACTACTTTCTATTACTTGAAATGAGGTCGCATTGCCTCCACTTCCTTGTTATCTTTATGTGTTGTGTTAATGTTGTCCTCAGGGCCATCCCAAAGTGTGTGAGAAGCTGAAAGCACTGATGGTGGAGTGGGCAGAGGACTTCCGCAACGACCCCCAGCTTAGTCTGATTTCAGCTATGATCAAGAATCTACGTGAACAGGGGGTCACATTTCCAGCCGTTGGATCCCAGGTATGTGTATGGTCCAAAACAAAAAGTTCTTTAATTTTTTCTTTATATAACAAGAGTAACAGGTATTTATTAAGACCCCTACCATAGCCAAGTTTCTCATTGAACCTCTCTATTGCCTCCCATGTTTCATGCTTGTGTCTAGCCTTTATCTTAGTTAGTAAAATTGTAAAAAAGGTAAAATACTGCCACATTATCTAAAAAAATATTTCATTTAATTGTAAAATCTGTGGTAGTCTTGCTTTCATATAAAGATTCAGACTCGTCCTTTAATCTTGTTATTTTATCATCTAAACTGTTTGTTATCACCTAAACTTGTGATTATCATTTTATTTATAGGCTGCAGAGCAAGCAAAAGCAAGCCCTGCTTTAGTTGCAAAGGATCCCTCCACCTCAACAAACAAAAAAGAAGAAGAAGACTTGGCTAAGGGTAATGACTCATATTTGATCCTTTAAGTAAACATTGCTTTGAAGAGGCTTTATTCTAAAAGCTTTCTGACTTTTATTTCATAAATCACTTTTTACATCAGATGTATGCATTGCAGATGTTTAGCTGTTTTTGAAGGCATTAAAGGGCAAATGCTTAATTTTATGCGTCTGTCTTTTTCTGTTTCAGCCATTGAGCTGTCACTGAAGGAGCAACGCCAGCATCCACAGACCTCCCTGTCGAGCCTTTACCCAAGCACCTCCAGCCTACTCTCCTCACACAAGTCTGATGGCAGGAAGGTCCGCGCCATCTATGACTTTGAGGCAGCCGAGGACAACGAGCTTACCTTCAAGTCAGGAGAAATCATCACGATCTTAGACGACAGGTGAACTTTTTTTCTAAAGATTATCTTTGGGGGTTTTCTTTCATTTGGATAGGATAGCTGTAGAGTGGCAGGAAATGTGGGCAGTCAAACCTGCAACCACTGCAACAAGGACTATGGCCTCTGTCCATGGGGCGTCTGCTCTCAGAGGGATTCATATTTGGCTGCTTTTTTAAATGTCCTTGAGTGAAGCACTGAGTCTGCCTGTTTTAAAAATATCTCAAATTTAATTTATTAACATACTTGATCATGGAGTTTGATAAAAAACTAAAAGAAACCCCTCTTCTAAGTGAATGAATCCCTAATGGGATATCTGTCCAGCAGTAAAAAGACCGCAATTAAATCTGTATTTGGTCTTCTGATCACTTTGGTCTGTTTGTTCTTTTAGTGACCCCAACTGGTGGAAAGGGGAAACATACCAGGGAATAGGGTTGTTTCCATCCAACTTTGTCACAGCTGACCTCACTGCAGAGCCTGAGATGAGTGAGTAGGCACACACACACTCACACACACTCACACAACCATTATCCTCACATATCTAATGACATTTCTGCCTCTTTGATAACACATCAAGTCCATTAGCAATATTGCTTTATTGATCGTAAAGAGGGAAAAACTTTTATCACACACGTAGCTGATGGAACAATACCAGAAACACAGTGCAATTAAGACATTGGTTGCTCACACAGCACATTTCAGTAGGTTGTAATGACATGCGGTCAAAACTGTACTGCCTGTAATTCTGGTAAGCCATACAAGAGTTGCGCTGATAGCCTTTTGGATACATTTCATCTTATGAAGAGAGTTGCTTTTCCATTTGTTACAAAAGCTGTGTCTGCCTTATTGATTTTCTTTTGTAGTTTCTGACCTGTTCATTTGCTACTGTAATGCTCTTGGCTTTGTCTGGTGGCATGATGCATGCTCTTCTCAAATCGTCCCTCATTAACAATAACTTCATCACTTCATCTACAGTGTGTGCCAACAAAACTGTTATCCTCTGCAATGCCAAACTTGCAGTGTTTGGTCAGATGTAGGTATAAAAGAAAGTCCTCTGGAAGGAATTTACAGATCTATTGGTTCAACAATTGTTGACAATGTATTGCTGGATCTGTGTTGTCTGCATTTATATAGAAGTTCTATTTTTAAAACCCCATGCAGATAAAGTTCATCGTCTGGCATTAAATTGATTCCATGCAATCAAGTGTGATTTTTTTCAAGCCTCCTGGTAATATCCAAATGTTCTTAATTACTGGTCTTGTAATATCCCTAGTTGCTTGCACAACTTCATTATATTCCTTTGCATTTTCATTCTGCAATGGCGTCATCCCTCATAACCTTCATGCTGCATGAAAGCATACTACTAAACTTAATTTTCATTTGGTTTCTGGACCATAGCTTGATGTTCTCCTGCCTTTAAAATATCTGTAATGATTGCTTTTGCGTTGTTTTGCTCCTGCGGCACCCGCTGCTGCTTGGAAATCTCCAGTGAAGACAGAGAAGAAGACAGTACAGTTCAGTGAGGACATCCAGGTGGAGACCATAGAGCCTGAGCAAGAGCCTGTTTTTATAGACGAGGTAAGTTTCTTTGTTTTCACACTTAAATATGTTAGGTACTACCATATAAAAACAGTCATCTGCTGAACTAAACGGAACATAGTAGCATTGACTTGTAGACACCAAAACTTTTTCATAAAAAACACACTGAATTGAATTCATAGCATGAACCTGGAAAGTTTCATCTTAGAAACTTGATTGAAATCTTCCAGGACAAAATGGACCAGCTACTTCAGATGATCCAGAGTGCAGACCCAACAGACAACCAGTCGGACAGCGTGGAGTTGCTTCAGTTGGAAGGTGAAGCTAATTTTTTTCTCAATTGCTATAGAGTTTGTTAATGTATGTAAGTTAGAAGTCAGTGCCTGAATATAGAAGCTTTTCTGTCTGTTTTGACTGACGTGAATTTTATTTCAGATTAAATCATTAATTAGATGTTTATTTTATCTTTAGGTGCCTGCAATCAGATGGGGCCCCTCATTGACCAGAAGTTGGAGGATATAGACAGGTACATTGAGCTGTTGTTTGTTGTGTGTGTTAAGTTTGCTATTTTATTTGTTTTACAAGTAGTAGACATTTCTAAGTTGAGCTGTCTTGTTTTGTGTTTCCCAGGAAGCACTCAGAGTTGTCAGACCTAAATGTGAAGGTGATGGAAGCTCTGTCTCTGTATGCTAAGCTAATGAATGAAGATCCTGTCTACGCCATGTATGCCAAGCTGCAGAGCCAACAGTACTACATGCAGCAGCCGGCCAACGCAGCTCAACAGGTACAGTCACTTAATCATATAGAGATGACCCCGGGACCGAAGCCCATGAGGGTCAGTCTTTTAAAAAGCATAAAATCCAAACCTGCTGCCATCAAAGGGGGTAAACTAAAGGTGTAAAGGTTTAAAGGGAACTTGGTGGACTGCAAAATGTTATTGAAGACTCAAAAGTGAAATCACTCGACAGCACAGTAGATATGTACGTTTAAGTATAATATTAAGACTGTCATTTTTTTAAATATTAATCGCCAAATTTTAAAAGTTGATCGGGATTAATCAGTTGTACAAAATTTTAATTTTTCGCATTTAAAAATAAAAACTGTTAGGCTTTTATTTTGAATTTTTGTACTGTCTTAAAAAGAACTGTATGTGCTGTTTGAATTCAACCCTACTTTTATTTTGAAATAAAGTAAGGACCTGGTAGAAACACGGAAAAAGGAACTCGTTACAGATCAAAAATGAAATGAAAACAGCTAAAAGGAACAGGAAAAGAGAAATGATTGACGTTGTAAGGAAGATATTACTTCTTACTTATCAGCTGAGCTGTCTGAGAGTTTTTAAAGCGAAATGAGAAATTCAAATTCAAGACATTCAAAGATGAAGCAGTGTCCTTTTCCTTCACTGTGACTACAGGGAGACACTGCGGAGGCTTATCCACAGTTAAGTGATAAAATAGCCTGCGATTAATCACGATTATTAAAAACTGAATTGACCTTAATGAATTGAAATAACTATTGTATGCCCTTTTAATGAAAGTTGAAAGAAAAATCTGAGAGCATGATTTACATCCAGATGCTTGAGCTCTTTACTGTAATCTGTGCCTTTCAGAAATGTGTTTTCTTATCATTTTATGTATCATAACCTACTATTTAACAAAGTTTCTTCTTCTTTTCACAGGCTTAGTCCTTCATTAACCCTCGATATGTGCTTTGCTTGTATGTGACCCTAGGTGTACCATGGTCAGCCTGCATCAGGTTCTTACGCCATGAGTGGCACCGCGGTGCAGGGTTACACCGTTCCAATAGAACAACTTCCAGCTGGAACCCCCATACCTGGTCAGCCAGCCCCTAGGTGAGTCTCTCACACACCCTGTTTTGGCGATATTCTGAAACGAGTGCATTTTCTCCCCTACATGGGCACTGTGATATATAGAAGAAAAACTATTTATTGCCAATTTACAAACAGCAGGATATGAGGAAATGCTGCTTTACTCCTTTTACATTATTGTATTCTCATTTAGATTGTGTTTAACTTTTTTTTCCCAATCAAACCTTTGTTTGTAATGAAAATTCTAAAATTGAGTCTCTGACTCTTTTGTCTTTTTATTAACCACAGAATGAACCAGGCTTTAACGTGTGACAGAAATAAAGAAGACACATTTCTTTTGCTACAGCCCCAATCATTAAAAAATATACTTTAGTATATTTAGTATGAAGCCTTGTTGTCTTATCTGCTCCATATTTTTGCTGGTGATTCCAGCTCAAAGCTTCTTCCATGTTAAGCCTGCAGTTTGACAAATGCAGTATCTTAATTCACCAACAAAGTCAGTGACCACTCTGCTGCTGTTAACTGTGTTTATTCACAAATGATTGAAATAGCATAGTTTCTACCACTCCTTGTTATAAATGCTGATATTTACAAGAACTGGTGAGTCCTAATTAAAAACATAATGACCCTCATCAGCTCCTTAGTTTTACCGGTCCTTTTGAAGTCCTTTTTTCTTTTCTTTTTAGACAGTTTGTCATAATGCATTCCTTCCTTCCACATGCTGTTCAATGAGTCTTCCTTGTTGTAGATATTGAATACGTTTTGCTTCACTGTTTCCCACAGTGACGTTCATATGTACATGGGCCAGCCGCCAGTCTACACAGCAGCTCCAGGTAGCATGGCCCCAGCAGAAGTACAGTCCTATCAGAACCAAGCACCAGGCACGACTCCCGCAGGCATGACGCAGACGTCAAACTACAGCACCCCCTCTGGGCCCAGCATAGCACCTTCCTCAGACGCCTCCCAGGCCCCTTACTCAGAGAAAGCCTTGCTATAGGGCCTGCTAAGCTCACTGGAATCCTCACGCATACACACACACATACATGCATCAGACCTTATCAAACCGTGGTCATGGATCATTTCTTTTATTATCATTTCATAATGAGGTTTATCATAAGACTTCAGATGGATGGAAAAAAAAAACTAAATAGAGAACTAACTTAAAATTTGTCACCCTAAAATATTCAAATAAATAGACGGTCTCAATCCAGGTTAAGACGTGATCATGACGGTTTAAACAGCTTTCACCAAGCACCACAAGCTCTGTATGTGTTCTTTTCTTTAGGGATTTATTTATTTCATTAATTAATATTCCATATGTTTATTCTTCTTCCTCTTCCTTATATCTATACAAGACACAGATATCTAGACATGCAGGAGCTTTAATTACACTTAAGATTTGGTCATCATTAAAATCTGATCACTTCTTAATCTAAATCTGATGCCAATAAAATGTCTATTTAGATGTTTAAGACCTGACATTCATTGTCACTTTAATATGATTGGATTTAAAAACAGATGTGGTAATGCTTTATTTAATGGCTCAGTGATTTGGGAAATAAAACCCAGGAACTTTAATGGAAAGAATCGTATAATCTGATACCAATTTAAGGGGAAAGAACTACTCGTTAGATGATGGTTCATCTCGTAAGCATTTGTTGATTTCTACAGTAATGTCTTTAAAACAGCGGCTCTTTTTAAACCCAAGTTAATATTTCGTCCTTTGTCATTTATGATTAGAAACCCTAAAAATTCAAACTTGTTATATTTTTCTGATGCTAGTCAGGTCTATTTTAAGTCTACACTAGTAGCTAATTTTATTCATGAATTAGACATGCATTGAATTTACAGTATTAAACGTGAAATTGGTATCACATTAAAAAGTTATTTTATGTAAAGTTCACCAGGAAGTATTTGAAAAATGACGGCTCTAATGAATAAGGTGTTACCAAAATTGGCTGCCATCAACCTCAAAGCAAAATATGTATGCAATGACTGTGATCTTACTCCAGGCAGGTGTACAGCGGTGCACACAAACACAAGTTGCACAAGTTAGTTCACACATCATCAGCAGTGTGTTGTACTAAACTTTCACTCGCACACTAACTCCAGTAGAAATCCACAACATGTCTCAGCCTTTACACCAACTAAAAGCAACCACAGTGCTTATCATGTCACACTAAAAAGGGTCACAAGTTCACATTTATATATATTTTTTTCTTTTAATTAAAAAAAAAAAAGAGGACTTTTAGCTATGCTGAAAACGTTAGGCTACTGCATTCTGTATATGTCGTCGACTTTTAGAAGTACTGAAAACTGAAGCCACTTTGTTTATTTTGGAGGGAAACCAGAGGTGTAAAAGCATGCACATGACTCTTGTATATACTGTAATGAACTAGTAGTGTAGCCACATGATGACCTCATGGGTGGGGCCGTTGTTAGCACAGCTCTGCGTGTTCCTCTCAGCCTTAAAGGTGAACTCTGCTGCAGGTGTTACTTTCTTTCTTTCCCGGTGTAAAAGCCAAAGAGAACAAAGTGGGGAAAAAACACACGACAGAAAATATTTTTTTTTAAGTCTTCTTTTTCTTTCCTTCCTTTTGTTGTACAATGATTGACTCCTCCTTTCATGCTGCAGAGTTTTCCTTTTCAGACTGAGCTGTGTCTCCATTCACGGGCTGTACTAACACACTCGCTCCACACGCTTGGCTACTGAAGGGGGGGGAACTCTGTGAACCGCCCCAGTGTCTTTGAAGCATCTCTTTAGTCAGTGTTGAGAATTGAATACAATGTTTTTTTGTAGTGCATTTTAATTTATGTTTCGATTATTGTTATGCTATTTTAAATGGAGAAGCAGTGCAGGATGTACATATTCAGAGAAAAGCGGAATATGTGATGTTCTGCCTGACTTAGTTGTATATTTAAATCACATGAGAACATGGACTCACTCTTCTCTCTGTGTTTGATACATGCTTATTGTACTGTAGGGTCAAATGGTGATGTGAAAAACAGATCACACCTACCCCCCCCCCTCCTCCTCCCCCCTGCATTTCAATCCTGTCCTTCTCTCAGAGCTGTCTTAACACTAAAACAAATTCTACCTGAAGAAGATCAGAAGTACGGTTTCTGGAGAAGTACAGTCTGGATTTTTTAAATAACTCAAATTCTCTCGAAGTTCAGTTACAGAGACACGTCAAAAGGCATGAAAGATCAAATGTTGTTCAAGCACATGTCTCTTACCTTACATTTTACTACGCACTACCTGTTTATACGTTTTGGGGGAGAACTTAATGCTTATCAATAATGATCGGATTTCAAAAAGTTGGTGAAAAAGCGAATATATTTATGTTGTTGTATTATGTTGAATGATGCCACATGAAGGAATTATGACGCCGTTTTAAGTCACTAGGTTTTCCAATTGCAGGGCAGATTGGTGTGTTGATCTGACTGTAAATTTGTGTCCTTTCAAAAACTCATGAAGTCCTTTGTTTGAAATGTGCTACACCTTATGATCCCTTAGCCACCTTGAGTTTATAGAAAACAACCTAAAAAAAGTTCACCTGGGACTTTGAGAAGAAGAGGCCGTTGTATTCTCCAGAACTGGATTCAAGCATTAATATAGTTTATTCAAAGACATGAAGTCCTTTCTGCAGCCTTTGAATACGATCGAGGGTGAAGAAGTGTTAATCATTTTTGGATGGATGAGGGCTGAAAATATAAAATATATAAATAGTAGCAGCTATTCTGGGACCAGGGAACCAGGAGCCAGTTAATCATCACACATCTTCCTGATGTGTTGGAGCCCAGATGTAACTTTATTGCACAGGATTGAGATGCTGCCTGTTTTTAAGTTTTAATCCAACATCTTTATTGTAAAAGTCTCAAACTTGTACCCTGCTGTTTGTATGTATTCTTTTAACCATACTTATTAATTGATATTCACAATAAAACCAGGCCAAATGTACAGAATAATATGGAAGGCACTGTTGTCTCTTTTTCTGTTTTTTCTGGACAAATATGAGAGAACTTGTTTTTAATTAGTTCAACTCTGCTGAGACTTTCACTGACAAGGGGCAGTTTGAGAAAGGGCCCTAAAAAGCTATTTTCAAAATAATCTTGATGAATGATTTTTCTCTTGAAGTTAGAACAGCTTTCAGTATTCTGCATGAAAGATCTAATTACACATTTTTTGACTTTCTCACTCACTCATTTAGAGGATGCAAAGTGTAATATAGCAATGAAGCCCCTCCCTGCAACAAATGCATATATACACACACACTATTAGAAACAATGGCATGAGTTTTTTACTTAACTCCGTTCTTCCAGACTGTTCTTTAAAACCACAACACAGACAAAAACATAAACATTTAATAATCACATTGACAACTTCAAGCAAAACCAATATTAACTAATCATCTAAATAAACAAAATACTTACCAATGCTGATACACAGACACACTTTTCCCTCGACTTCATTCAACTTTCATCACATCAGCGCATCCTGGATACATACACAATTCAGTCACATTATACAACCTGCACACCATCAACACAAAGCATCCCGTAGTACAAATGTACTTAAAATGAACTTCCTGCCTCTTCATTTGGCCAGCTCTGCAGCTCCCATGCTTTACAAAAGTGTGGTTGATCCTCATACTTTCAACTCTGATCAGATTTTCTTTTTAACCCCAACAGTGTTTAAGTAACATTTGAATGAAAACATTACAAAACTGTTAATCTTATCTGATGTAAGCTCACACACAGGCCTGGTCCAAATTTGAAGTACATTCATCAATTGATATACAGTTACTGATTTTATTAGACTTAGCTAATCTTATTTTTGTTTAATACAAAAGTTCAGCAAGAAATGTTCTCTTGATGAAGATGATGATGTTCAGTATTTGGTGAAACTGTTTCCCATTTAAGTTCTTTAACTGAGTGATCATGTTTGAAGCTGTTGTTGTTGGTTCACTTGTTGTATAGCATCATATAAAGAGGTGTTTCTGTTATTTAGCAGACCCGACTGATACGATTCAACATCACCACAGAGGCCTCCAAAATCATTCAGTTTAATGAATACCTCTTAACACCGCAGATGGGTCAAAACAACTTATAGAATAATAATAACAATAATAATAGTAAATTACATTTATATAGCGCTTTTCTGAATACTCAAAGACGCTTTGACAGGAAACTGCAAAAAACAAAGCAAAATCTAAGAGAACAAGAAGAAGACAACAGGAGTAGTGTCGAGGGAAGAGGATGAGAGTCAGTGGTTGTAGGCAGTGATGAAAAGGTGAGTTTTTAGGGATTTCTTGTAGGAATTGAGTGTGGGGGAGTCTCTGATGTTTTTAAGGAGAGCGTTCCAGCGGGTGGGAGCAGCAATGGAGAAGGTCCTGTCCCCCCAGGACCGAAGGTTGGTCCTGCATCCGCAGACCTGAGAGTGCGGGTGGGAGTGTGCTGGTGGAGGAGCTCAGACAGGTACAGGGAGCCAGGTTGTGGAGGGCTTTGTAGGTGAGGATGAGGAGTTTGAACTGGATACGCTGGGGGATGGGGAGCCAGTGGAGGTCATGAAGAAGATAGAAGAGGGAAATGATTGCCCAGCTTTGAGTTGAACTCCAGTTGTTTGTGATGTTCCCAAAAAAATGTTTTAATTGTGAGTGTGTATTTCTTGTCAAACTTTAATCCCAGTTGATGCTTCATTCATGAAATTGTGTTGCATAGAAATACTTTAGCCTGGAAATCCATGTTTTCCCGAACTTCAAAAATGGTCCTCTACCCTGCCACTAGATGGCATCAGTGTTCATGAAATCTAGAAAGAATAGACAGAAGATAGAAGTTTGACCAACTCATGATATCAGTTTTCTTCAGCAGCGGTAAGTGGTGGGTATTTTCCTCATGGAAATTATAAGGAAATATTTAACTTGCGTTGCATTTTTGGTTTGGCTGAAATCCTAGAGAAAACTAAATTTATGGAGATACTCAATGTATTAGATTTTCACATATCTTTTATATTTTGTTAATCAAAAACAGCACATGTTAAAGTTAGAAAAGAGTGTTAATATGATCAAGTAATTTGGTATGGATCATTGGCACAGTGTAGTTTTCTCCTTGAGATCATGGGATGGGAGTGCTCTTTTTGTAAGCCCATATAAAGTGAGCATGAGCAGCTCATTACCTCAGCAATAAAAGAATACTGCCTCCTGTGCAGTTTAAGCAATGTCAGTGTGCAGAGTCCAACAGCTCCTCCGTCTCGTTTCGTGGGAGATGATTGTCAAAGTCTTTAGCTCCCAGGTCAGACCACATACTGGAGTTCAGGGACCACCATGCCCTCCGGAAAGAACATCAAACTCATCCTGTATGAGCTGCTGCAGTTTGCGGCCCTGATCGTTCCAGTGTTTGTGATCATGGAGAGGTTCGGCAGACTCATTCGGGATGTCAGAGGACGCGATCTAACGGCCTACTGGCTGGTGGTGGCGGCCTCCATCGCCTACGTGACCTCTGCGACCCTGCTGGTGTGGGTCCCCCTGAAATATGTAACCCTGAAGCAGAGGAGGTTTATTTCGGAGATCACACAGTGGTGAGTACAGCTGTTGGTGAGATACAGCATCATACCTGAAACACAGTCAGAATGACTAGAACAATGAAACCTTTTGGAACAAGTTTGGGATTTCAGCCTTTATGAACAAAGTTGTCGAAGAGATAAACATTTCAGTAACAGCAGCAGTGGCACAACTACTTACACTATTATAAATGAGTCTTCTAATCATAAGGCATTGCCAAATAATATCCAACGTTAAAAAGAAGTTATGATCATGATGTGACATGACCCCTGGTGTTGTACATTGAAGCTGCTTGATGTGATGTAAATTGCAACTACTTTATGTTGTTGTTGAATTTCTAGTGTAGCCTATATGCTTCTTTAATTTTAATTCAAACATATTGTATTAACAATGTATGAGGTCATGTCTGAGAAAGGCCTGATACTGTATGAAACTTAAAATAAATGACTGAATCTTCCCTAGAAATATAAGTTAAATGTATAAGATTTACAATGCATGCCCTGCTACATGTAGTTATACTCTGACCCTCTACTTCTACAGATACTCTATGTCTGGTATATCTGCAGCTTTGGAGGGCTTATACTAAATAACATTAGCTCACTCTATCTAGATCTCTCTTAAATTGACATCCCTGAGTCGGTTCAGGTATATAATTAATCTTCTTCACATGTGCTACACATTTTTTTTAAATCACATGAATGGCATGTAGGCATAGTCTCCTTTAGCTTTGCTCTAATGTATAACTTACTGTAACTGGTTTCCATAGACATCCCACAATGCAGTGAGTAAAAACTGAACCATTTTCAGCTCAAATGTTTCATAAGAATAATGAGGAGTTATGTATTTATGTATAATAATTGATTTGAATATCTTACATGCCTGGTTGTGTCTTCTTCAAATGTCGACTAATATTACTTGTTTTGTTTTCCCAGGAGACCCACAGCACTGGCGTACATCATCCTGTGCACATTGCCTTGTTCTGCTATTCTAATAGCCAGCTCCAAGGTAAAGTCATCAAGACGGATTGCTCTTGTCTCTGTGAAGCACCTGTTGATGTTTTGTTCTGTCGTGCGCTGCCCCGGGGTCCTTGAAGAGGCTTATTCGTTGTAAACAGTCCATTTGTGGCACCAACTCGTGTGTGTGTGTGTGTGTGTGTGTGTGTGTGTGTGTGTGTGTGTGTGTGTGTGTGTGTGTGTGTGTGTGTGTGTGTGTGTGTGTGTGTGTGTGTGTGTGTGTGTGTGTGTGTGTGTGTGTGTGTGTGTGTGTGTGTGTGTGTCTGTCTGTCTGTCTGTCTGTCTGTCTGTCTGTCTGTCTGTCTGTCTGTCTGTCTGTCTGTCTGTCTGTGTCCTGCCTTTTGTAAGAGGATGTGTTTAAAGGACAATAATGATTCACTCGGTGATGGTGGACACGGCACATTGCCCCACAGAGAAAGTCAAAAGATGCCATGTCACCAGTTTTGTGCTTTTTAAAAGGTGCATCCACATATTTCTCTCCCTGTGTACTAGAGGTGGAGGAAAAAATCGATACAGTTTAGTATCGGGATATTTTGTGCTGCAATATTTTATCGTGTCATGGTGGCCAAGTATGAATATTTTAGATATGGTTTTTAATTTTTAACTGCTGAAGGGGGTTGCAAAATTCATTTTAATCAAGTTCAATCAGACTGAAATACCAACAGTTCAGATTGTGAGGTGCATGCAGCCTCTTACAGGGTTTGACTTTGATCACAGTGTTCGCATTTATATCATTGACTCACATTGTGTAGAAATAAAAAGACTGAAGTGAGATGAATAAACCGAGAATCTTTTCTTATCTGACAAAACAGCTCTCGATTTCCTTTAGTGTAGTGGACATAATATGCAGTTAAAAAGCTTAATCGCATATTGAATCGCGATTCTCAGCATAATCGCAAAATGTTTAAAATCGCAAAAGAATCAATTGTGTCTCGAGTATCGCGATAATATCGTATCGTGGTGATTCCCACCCCTTCTGTATACTGAGAAGGACTTTGGCATGATCTGGAGTAAAATAAAAAGGCGGGGGGAATGTGTGCTCTGTCACGAGACTACACCTGAAACCTGAGGTATTCAGTAACCAACAGGGAACATAACAGGTTGACCATTAACCCAAACTTTAATACCATCCAGTACAAAAAGACAGGAATTTTTACACACATGACACTGTGTCCTTAACTGATGTAATCTTAGACGAGCCAGAACATAAACAAGAGACACGAGCTACAAAGATTTGTCACACACATTCAGACATCTAATATGTCTTAATCTTGAGTTATGGCCATTCAGCAGCATCTTAATGTCCATAATGATGGGGAAATAAAAAACCCTGAATGGCTTCATAAAACTTGGGAAGCAGGATATCCTCCTTCTCACTTCAGCCAAATGCCATAACCAAGAGTTTCAGTTTGATGTCTTTCTGCCCCCTCTCTCATCATTTTTAAGTGTAAGATCAATATTAACTCCGCTCTAATCACATTTGTGTTTGTTATTATATTTTAGGTGCAAGTGGACGATGGAGTAAGGCTTGATCTGTTCACTGAGTTACCCGTCTCCTTGGTATTAATGTCTCTTATCTGTGTGGACATCATAGAGAGGATCCGGCCCTGCAGGCTCCTCGGACAATGTAAGTCCTAACGTTATTGGCTGAAAGATAAGAAATAAAATAAATGCTGTTAAAATGTATCTGTAGGGGCGCAGTGGTTAGTGTGCGCGACCTATGTATGGAGGCTATGGTCCTCCAGGCGGGCAGCCCAGGTTCAAATCCAGCCTGTGGCTCCTTTCCCGCATGTCAATCCCTACTCTCTCTCTTCCTGATTTCCGACTCTAACCACTGTCCTATCTCTCCATTAAAGGCACAAAAAGCTCATAAATAAATCTTTAAAAAAAAGAAAAAGAAATCTACCTGTACTTTCCGCTGAACTTCTGCCTCAGTCATATTGTAGACGGTTTATATTTGACCACTGAACACTGTCAGACGAAGTGTTTATCTTTATGCTGTACCTACACATGTATAGGACAGAATCAGCGAAAAGAAAAGACAAACCCGCTTGTCCTCAGGGGTCGCCAAAATCAATGCAAAATGAAATTCTTCAAAGGTGCTTGGATTCAATTTTAAAAATCTGGCTAACCTGCATAGAAAAAACATTTTGTTTTTGTGTTAACTCTAAGTCAGTGTTTTTATATCTGAATTTGTTCTGTTTAATTGTTTTTGTATTAGTTCAATGCATTTGAACTGGTTATAAAGCACTGAAACTATATGAAGAAAAGCTTTATCTAATGACAGGTTATAAGGTACTTTTTAAGTCCTGAAATAAATCTGCATGAAGGTCAAAACGTCTGATTTTTATGGGCACATTTTTTATATAGGTGATGGTTCATCCTGATTTCATTAAGCACTTATATTTTATATGTATTAATCTTTTGTGATTAAATTATATCTTTGTGTTTTTCCCTCTCTGTTCACATCAGGAAGGGCAAACTAACATCTGAAACACCTCTTTTGAATAATTCATTCAGAGTCACTTGGAAGGATGAAAAAGACTATTTCCAATAATTGTCTGGACTTTTAACTCTATCCCTGCTATATTCAGAGTTCATGTAACAGCTGGTGTTGTGTGCTTCGTCATTCGCAGCAGACAGCCTGGACTCTGACCTTGACATGGCAGGCCCAGTCCTCACCCACCTGGAGCAGGTGACCACGGTAACAGGCCAGCTGCACACTGATGAGGTCCCTAACGGTGTGACCCAAGACCACCCAGAGGTGAGGAACCCTCCACGTCCAGCCATCCGCTTGACAACCAACCCACGAGTGACCAGCATGGCATACCTGTACTCCTCTTCCTCACGGCCCCGAGCGTACTCTGGTCCTCTGGGATTCTTTTGGAGGAGAGACGGGAGAGGGGAGGTGTTTGTGGATACTTTCCTGTTTTGGATGGACACAGTGGAGATGGTGAGAGTTGCAGGAGAGCCGTCTGTCTTCTACTCCGCCTGGGTGTTCCCCGTCTACATCCTGGCCTTCATGTCAACACTCCGCATGGTCATCACTCCCCAAAACCCTCTACTGTCCTTCGCTGGATTTGCCCTGCAAGACTTTCCTTTCTTCATCATCCGAGTGGCTCTGATTGCTGTGTTCGGCTATGTTACCCCCGTGTTGTACGTGCTGAAAAACGTGCTGGTGAGCCTGACTTTTATCTACTTCACATACCTGACCAGGCTGAGGATTTTCAAAAGGCAGAGCATGTTCTGAAGAGGAGTGGCACGTTCTGTTGTAAACAAAAGATCTGCTCTGATCTGGGGGGGGTTGTGTTTATTTGCTACATTTTCCTTTTTTTTTTAACCACATTTCATTACAAAGTACAAAGTGTAAAATACAGTTATTTTCAAAACCCCTGAACTATATGTGATAAATGTTGTTTGTTTAATCACTTTTATTATTGTTTAATAAGTGTGGATTCATGATTTCATCAATAAATATTTCTTTATAATGAAGTCCTTTGTTAATTAATAATGTTTTATTGTTTTTAATTGATTATATTTCTTCAATGATGAGTTAAATGTCAAATTAAAATATCCCTGAAGAAGCTCAAGTTGTTATTGAACTGCACTGATTTTTACTCCACTTTAATATTAGCATCTGAAAAATGTCTCGGCTTATGGAACAAAAGGTTCAGTTCAATTCTGGAAAAAAATTAAATCTAGAAACCATGTATTTTAACTTGGAGACAGTGCATGCAAGGACTACTTTTATCAGCTGCCACAGAGTAAAAAATGTGATGTAATAGAGACTTGGACTCGTGTAAATTAAAAAACTTCTGTTTCAGACAAATGTTGCTGCCTGACAAAAACCCTGAAATTGACACAAAAGCTGTGTCTGTGTCCAGAGGATGAGGACATTGTCATTGAAGAAGAGACCTCATCATTCCAGATACGTATGTTTCCTCGTAGGATAAATATGATAGCTCATATTTAGAATAGCTTAGTTTGTATGTTCAATGACCCTTCACTTGCCAAGCTATGAAAATGCCACCAGTATAGGAACATCTGCATCTTTTTTAATGTCCCTTTAAATCTCCACTAATACACTCAGTTTTTTATAAACGCATTTGTTCCCCTTCTGTGTATGTGTATAATGGCATATTTTAGCATAATGTAGGAAGCCAGAAGAGTCATCAATCAACAATCTATGTCGCAGATTTCTTCTGCATGACATCTTCTTCTTATTTAATGCAGAGTCAGCAGATAACACAATCTTCTTTTTATCTTTCTGATTTTCATTCTTTCCGTTTTTCTTTTTCTGTCTATAATAAACAACCCCTCCTCTACCCCCCTATATCACGGTGCAGGCAACATGCTGGTTAATGCGTTTTTATAGCCATATAACTCACTGGAGTGTAACCTTGGAGTGTAAGTGTGTGTGTGTGTGTTTGTGTATCAAAACAGAATGCCAGGGAGACGCTGGTGTATAATCAAAGTCCTCAGCTGGCACAAGTCTGACAGAATTACACCCCATGGAGCCGTCAGTCTTTGTGTGTCTAATGGGTGAGCAGGGGCAAAAGACAGACTGTTAAAAAAAAAGGCCAAGTCTGTGTTTCCTGTCCCTTCAAAGTAAACATAAAAAAGGGGAAATAGGAAAACAGCAACAACAATCCTGCTGCATCCGAGGCATAGTAAATAATAAGAATGAATGAATCAGTTTGAACCGTACTGCCTCACAGCGAGGGAAGATTTGTTAAGGGCATAATAAATGACAAACACGGCTGGTGACAGAACGCCACACAAGCAGTAGACATTCACACAAAGGGACCAGAGCTGGCCTGCTTTCATTTACTGCTCAGAAAACTAAAATTAACTTCTCTTAATTTCCCTACAGCCGTGATCACTCCTCCTCCTCCTCCTACTCCTCTGTGATTCATACTGTAATCTGCAAGAAAGCATTAGTGCAGCTTGACTCATTGTGGCCATTTTACAGTTCCCCATGTGTTGGCAGGCAGGAGACAACTTTTTTTTAATTTCCCGTGACACGGAATGAACACTTCAAATGATCAAAGAAAAAAAAGCAAGAGCCTGCATCTAACACCTCCTAATGCGAGTCTGTGAGTTTCACATTCAACTGCAAAACCTTCTTGCAGCCAGACGCTTTCTTTTAATGCATGCTCAGAGGGGCTTTGCATTAATATCCATACAACTTCATATGTTGTATGCTAAAAATGAACCTTTAATTTTTACCTCTACCAAGCTTTTTTTGTTTGTTTGTTTGTTAGTGGGCAGGACTACTGCAGTCCCCATTTTCATGAAACTTTGTGTAAGGTTGTAGACTTGACCAAGAGAGAACGATTACATTTCAGGCCAGATCTGGATCTAATTTGGAACGAGTTAAAATGTCTTATGTGTTTATGAAAATAAACATGGATTATAAGTATGTGGTTAAAGTCACTGCTTCACTGCTGGTAATATTTGGATAGGCATAAACATACGTATACATAATTATTTGTGGTATATACACACATATACGTATATCATGGTTGCTCCTACAGATCTGCATTAGGACTGTATTATTTGCCTTGGCAGAGGTCTGTGTGTCTAGATGTTTTCTTTCATGACTAATTTACTGAAATCAGCTAAGACCCACTTCAAACACAAATCTTATTGTTTTGAATTCTTTCTTGATCCAAGTACAGCAACCTGAAGTTTCTCTTTAAATATCAAACACACACGAGCCATAGTCACCAACCAAACTCTGTATCAAATGGTCTGTTGATAAATGTACATTTGTTGCAAATACTGCAGCTTTTTTTATTTCAGCTGCCCTATATGTTTGGCTCTTAGGATATCAGTGGTTGTCTGTTTGTGCTGAATATCTCACCAAATTTAGGAAATTATCTAAAAGCAATTGTGGTCAAAATAGTATGAATCCTAAAGAATATTGTGATCTCATCCCTATAGTCCCACTGAATTGGTTCATACCAGTTCAACTGCTACTGTATGGCTTGATATGATATTTTGGACAGATATCCGTGACACCTGGAGGAAGTATCGTAATGACTTTGGGGGATCCCCCTGCTGTATATCCAGCTCCACCAGCAAGTTTTCACTTATCATGTGAAATAATATACATTCAATGGATGAACAGGCTGATACTTTGGCAATGACCTCTATGGTCCCCAAAGGACCTCATTTTCCTTTGTCTTTTCCTGAAATATTTCATAAACGATTTGAGTCTGTGAAATATGACACTCATTGCCCCCTCAGGAGAAAAAGTAATAATCTTGGTGATCCCTTAACACAATCTTTTATAGAGCCAATTACAGGAAAACATTGTCATAGTCAAATTCCTCTAATACTTCAGACCTTAACTGTACTGTAGTTTATTGGTTATCGTAATCACTATTTATGAAGATTTACTGTACATGTTGATCATGTAAGCTGATGTAAGCCTCTGGATCAATGCATCACTGTGCTTAAGTGCAGCCTCCAATAACTGCTGGAGTAGCTGTTTCCCCTTAGTTTGAAAAACAGACTAAATTTAACTTGAAAAGGTGACGAGCACTCATCTGTTATTTTGGAGACAAGTTTGATTCTTTCTTTTGGAAACATCTTGAAATATTCTCACTGCACTGACAGATTTTCTTCACTCTTCGTGGAGACGTATCAGGTCTTAATAATAGACAGAAATGGTTTGAAAAGATTGACTTTTTTTGCAGCAGTCAAGCAGAAAGCAGAATTATCCCAAGCACCTTCACTGTCAGGGTAACATTAAAACAAGAGAGAGACAGCTGAGAGGAGAAACGACACAAAGGGAAGCAACAGTGGGAGGAGTGGGAGCAGACACTGTGGACACAGATGAGGAGAATAAGATAGAGGGGTGAAAAAAGAAAGCACAGATTAGATGACAGAGGAGAGGGAGGAGGAGAGATTTGGGGAGGGGGTGTTGCTGTTAAGGATGGGTGGAGGCTTTGTAAATGTGAGAGGCTGGAGGCGCATTTAAATTCAGGCTGTGTGTCTCCTGCGCTAGCCGAATGTTACCTGCTCTAGCATGGCAACAGAAAGAGAGAGAGAGAGTCAGGGTTTCAGCTGCAGCCTCCACACATACACACACACACACACAGACAAAAACACACACACACACACACGTGCACAGACAGCCACAACAGGAGTGCAAGGAGTGACTCAGGTAAGCTCCTGATGAGAGAGAGAGGGAGCAGCGTGGTTGAGAGAGAGAGGGAGAGAAACTGGAGGAGGAGGAGCTACAGAGCTGAGATTCTTTAGGAGGAAGAAAAAGAAGGAATTGCATAGAAACCCCTGAAAATCTCTGTATGTGGACTCCTTGGGTGGGCTTACAGGGGAAGGAGAGACGGGGGATGCTGCAGACGCAGATGTGGAGGGATGCGAAAGCTCTGATTGGATAAATCTGACAGACTAGAGGGATACACAGAGAGAGGAAAATGACATTTAGTTTTTTGTAGCAGGACTGTTCGGGGGGCTTAAGCTGGGGGAGGCTGGAAGGGAGGTTTGCAGACAGGGGTGAGTCGGGACAGAGGAGGGGGTGAGGCGGGGTGAACAGACACAGGATGGCAGATGGACCACCTGTCCTTCTGAGACGAGGTGAGCATATGAAGAAACACTAACCTCACATTTACACACTCCTAACTCCTGGGGCAGCCTTCAGATTCAGGAACCAAAAATCTCTCTTTTCCCAGGACTTTAGAGATGTTATGAGACATTTGGCATCCTGATCACCTGGACTCCTCTGAGGGACCAGCATCCACACTGCCCTCGCAGGCGCTCCTCCCCTGTAAAGAACCTGTGAGCACAAGAAATTTGACTCTTTATTTTTGGCTCCTGGGATCCCTAACTTCCCCGAAGAGCTGCGATCAGGTGGATCACCTGTGCCATGAGGATCCTGGCCTGAGACGACCCCCTAAAGAGGCTCCATCGGCCGGCCCCCCTCCTCTCCCCACCACCTGGATGTCTTGATGTATTGCTGTGGGCTGGGACACTGGCGGAGAGTGCAGTCCACCTATGTAAGTGAACATCGCAGCTACCATCCGCATGTTTCTGATCCCATAGCAACAGTGGAGTTGTCTTGTTTCAGGAGGGGAGGGGGCGATGCATCTTAAAGAAACTGTATGGTACAAAAGCCATGGCAGATTATTGCACACATACACTATTGCTGTGTAGTTGCTTTATGCATTTGCTCATTAATCGAGACTTTTCATATCTGTGTTTTGCTACTAAGGTGCTCACTCCTCAGTGTCATTCTGTGCGAGTTTTCAGCTGCGCTGCAGTTTATCAGGACAGACAGTGGCTTTGTCAAACAGCCTGTGTATTGATCGCGGTACAGGACTCCATGAAAACATTACCTAACAGCCATTAACCTGTGTTTGACGGCTTCACCTCTGCTGGTTTGTGCTGCAACTCTTTGATATTATTGACAAGGAAGTGAAGTGAACAAGGTGTGATTTTTGATTCATTGAAAAAAAAAAAAAAAAACATGGTCGCTACTTATAAGAGCCTTTTCCCCTCACATTATTTGACTTTATCAGAAGAGACAGGGGGGCAGAGGGGGCAACAGGCAGGTGCAGTTATCTCATTACAAGCCAGGTTTTACTGTCTTCTCAATGACGGAGGAGCAGGGAGGACAGTCTCACTCCTCTCTTCCACCTGTTCCTTCTTGATTCATAAACTCTCTCCTCCTGCCCTCCCCTCTCTCTCCTCTCTTTCAGTTTTTCCTCCTCGTCTGTTTGCTGCTGCATCACTGTAGTTATTGTTCTCCTCATGTTGCAGCCGACACTATACTGTATAGAGTTAGAGCTGTGCATTGTGTGATGGCACTGACTGCAGAGGTCCCTAACGTATTCATGCTCCTACATGAAATAGGCTTACTGTCAGACCTCAACACTCAATAGGCTGACAGCCCAGAGCAGCACAGATTACCACAATCTGTGTTGCTGCTTGCAACATGTGCCCACCGCAGCAACGAGGAAAAAAGAAACTTACATACACAGCTTAAAGAAGTGACACATCAAGAAGTTATCCCATTAGCTCTACTTGTATTTTCAAACTGCTTGGCACAAAAAGCAGCACAGATTACCACAATCTGTGTTGCTGCTTGCAACATGTGCCCACCGCAGCAACGAGGAAAAAAGAAACTTACATACACAGCTTAAAGAAGTGACACATCAAGAAGTTATCCCATTAGCTCTACTTGTATTTTCAAACTGCTTGGCACAAAAAAGACCATGAGCTGAGAGAAGGCATGTAAATATTAGCAAGTGGGGGGAAAAATCCAAAGCCTTTAAATGCTGCCTTTGTGTAGTGCAGGTTTCGTTACTCATTCCTTATTTCCACACTTCGATTCTGTTTATATGTTGCCAACAGCACAGCTATCAATAAGGGTTAAAAATTGATCAATCTTGGGCACAACTTAGTTTCACTCTGTGGTTCCCAAAACCTGAAGCTACAATCCCCATAAAGAGTCCAAGAGGACTGACCAGATTGGAATTAGAAACATGAATTCTGCACAAGTTATGTTTTATCATATTTTTCTCATATTGTGTTATTTTCCTATCCCAATATTTTCAGTTTTTCTGTATTGAAACTCATAGTTCTCTCTCATTAACTTCTAAAGAGGGAGGGTCCCTAGAGCCTAAACCTCAGCAGACCCCTTTGGGCCAAATCTCTTCTGTGATATGCAAGTCTGCAAGTGCAACCGCAATATACCATGATGTGTATAGCTTGAAATGTTTCCATGATTTCTGTCAAAATATTGTCATGCCAAGCTGAAGTGCCGACATATCTTAAGTGCATTTGTTATGTACTTCTCTGATACATTGAAAATATTTCACATATTAAGCATACATTTGTGAAAAGGAGCCCTTATCTTCATTTACAGTACATACACATATGATTTACTTATAATAAATTGCATCATGTCCTTGGCATCTTGTAATGAAAACAGCTGGAATGCGAAACAGTTTATGCTTAAAAGACAGATAAGACTTTTTGGTCGTTGAGTCAGATCTGCGATGTTTTTTGAATTTCCCGATGTTCTTCTGTTGGGTTTGAATCAAGTCCAGAAGTGAGAGTTCTCCTCCTGGCTCCATTCTGCATCTCATCACCGCTGTTCATGTAAGTGGGGCCTTAAGTTTTTCATTTTTTCTAAAAACATACCGACAGATATAGCCAAAAACAAAACTTCTTCAGTGGCAGCAATGAAACTGTCAGAGCCGAAAAGATCACTCAGGGATACATGATAACAGATTTAATTTAAAGAATTGTAAGATAAAAAGGCAAAGAACCTTTAAGTTTAGCTTTAGGATAAGGTAATGGTTTGACACATGATACACGTTCAATTCAACATTGTTTTCAGACTTCAAATAATTTGTCGTAATTTTTTTTGCATCGCAGCACGAAATTTTTCCTATTTTTTTTTTCTAGAACATCCCTCCAGGTGTGACCTCTGCTGGCACACAGCACAGCTGGATTACTTTAAGTGCTTGTCTTGGCTCTTAGAAGGAGCTTAAGACATCTCACTGTTCTCTGCTTGCTGCTGTTTCATAATGCTGACTGTTGGGACGGTTCAGCCAGCAGGTGAAGGACAAGGTTCAGTTTAACCCTGTTTACAAACATCTGTTAAAACCCAAAGCAAAGAACTTTTAAGGAAAAAGGACTTTCCAGACATTTGATCTCAACATCAAATTTCACACAAAAAAAAAACGAAGGTCGTTTCATGTGCATTCCCTTATATTATGTGTATCATTACAATTACAGTATAACATTTGGATTTAATTGTTTCTTTTTTTGGGCTGTTATATTCGCTTTAGTCCCAGATTTAAAATATTACTGCTTCAAGTAATATCCAGAATCCTGCTTTTATGCCTCATGTACTTTTATCTCTCTACATCAATTTATCACTCTACTTTTAGAGGATATAACCTGAGTTTCATTGCTAATGACCCTCATAATGATGACATTAGAAAGGATATGAAGCAACTAGTTGTAAGAAAATGTACATTTTGCATGGTCCACACAGAGTCACAACTGTATCTGGATTTACCCGCTTTATACCTGATCATCAGTATGAGCAGGATTGATATATTTGTCACTTCATATAACTGATGGAAGACGTTAAAAAAAAAAATCAAAAACGAACAGAGTACATGAATTATAGAAGTTGGGTCTGTGCCTGATTTTCCGGAGTGGCAGTGAGTTTATCTTTGTACCTGTTTTTTTCACCTTCACAGTTTTAGAATCTGATTACTGCATTGCTTATTCAGCAGTTCACTGAAGTATCAAGTTTTAAATCTGCACAGGAGAGGAAAAAATCTTCTTCTTCTTATATCATGACGAGAATAGCCTGCTGACAAAATATACTCAAAATCTGATCAGAACATAACTTCTCAAAGTTCTCTCTTTTTTTAAATGTGCACTATGCAATATTTAAAATGTCCTTTCTCTGTTTCTTTTTCTTTTACACTGCAGAGGTAGTTTTGTTCCTTTTTTTCTTGTTGCCTTCTTCAAACGAGGTGAATCCATGAGGACCACAGATCCATACAGTGCTCAGGTGGACATTGATTATAACGCTGAATCAAATCCTGTGGATTTAGTAAACAGGCTGCAAGCTGTGGTCTGTATTGACTTGTTTCCACATTCAGCTCTCACACCGCTATTTCCTACTTCACCGCAGGCTAAGGGATTGTAGTTCACAGATGGGTATCTTTGTAAGACAAAAATACTATTTAGCTTGATCTGCTTATCTATCTATCTATCTATCTTTCTATCTATCTATCTGTCCATTTTTTTATATACAAAAAAATATAAGAATACATTTGCAGAATGCAGAGTAGTTAAAGGAGGTTGCTTTTTTTCACGTAGTATTTTTTAAGTTTTATGCTTTAATCATAGAGACCGGAGAGTGGTTAGAGTCAGGGAGGGAGAGAGAGAGAGAGCGAGAGAGAGAGAGAGCGAGAGAGAGAGTGCATTCCAACATGCAGGAAAGGAGCCACAGGTGGAATTCAAACCTGAGCCGTCCCCTTTGAGAACAACAGCCTCTGTACATGGGGCTGTAAATAAGATATAATATCTTATTTACAGTCTATGGTCTGACCCAACCACCAGGACAACAGCACCCTGAGGTTGCATTAGTTTAAGACAAATATTACCAAGCTGTTTTATTCAAAAAATAAATATTAAGGCCTACCTGAGTCATTTAGATTGAGTTAGATTTCTATCTCAAGGGAACAGTTAATTTTTTTTCCAACAGTAAACTGATACTCTCATGTCCGAAACCTGGAGCTATGGAGCAGTTAGCCTAGCTAAGCATACAGACTGAATTCATTGGAAGATATTGCTCTCCATGAAGATAAGATACTCTCACCAATAACTCCAAATTAACTTAGGGCTTTTAATTAACAGACTAAATTACCAATATACATTCTCTAAACAATAACCTATAGCACCTACGACCAGGCACAGCAGGCTAATCAAGCTTTTCCTCACACACCAAATCTACATGTTGGAATGAGAAAAAGATAGTTGTAAGAGCTATGAGAGTTTTGACTTTTTAAGTCTTCCATTGAATGCATAAATTCAACTCTGTGTATTAAGTGACTTATATTAGTATGTATAACTAGCTACCTACAGTAGTAAGCTAGGTTTGTGTGTTCCCCAAAGCTAAGAGTTAGCATGTGGATAGCTACATCGTGTGCCCAAAGAGGTTAGGTTCAAGAAAGCTGTTTCTAATGAGAGAGACAGAGAAGAATTAACTACACATCAGGAAAATGTCCTTTTTATTTGATTTTGTAAATTGAACCATAAAAACACACTTTTCTGTATTTCTTCTCTTTTAAGATGGAACATATTCATGACTATAGGACTATTGTTACTCAAGCAAGGGTTCAAAGAAAACCTAAGTTTGGGATTTGGAATTGGCCGTAATACCATCAATCTCTTGTTGTGGCTATCCATCTCTCTCTCTGTCTCTATAGAACCCACCAATCACTGTCCTGGAGCTCAGCAGCAT